CGAATTGAATAAATTACTACAGTACATTATGACTACCCTTGACCATGTTTTGTAAACATCAAGTGCACATTATTCAAGCCCAGATATTTGTCCAAAGAATAGTATAACCCCAATTTGTCATATATAAGGGTGATTTGTCATATATAATGGTAATTTATCACTTATTTCTGATATGTTAGGTACACTTTGGTGCTAGCCCAGATTATATATATATATAGTCTCATATCTTGTGACATATTCAGTGCAGTGGATAAAATATTATAATATATTACAACTTTATTATAATATAACATTTCACATCACTATTATTACTCTTATATTAAGTAGATGTTGTGTGAATGTATGGACATGTTTGGCACTAGCCTTTGGAACTCATTTGCTTCATATTTCCATTTTTGAGGGTTACTGCTGTTAAAGCCCCAAATTTGTAAATAAAAGCTGTAAAATGTGACTCATCTACTAAGTATTCTCAATTTTCCTATGAATCAATAAGTAAGTATATGTGTCAAACCCTGGGTTCAAGAAACCTTTTTCTTTGCCTTTTAAACCTTTCATTTTGGCTCTGGTTGATAAGATAAGACAGGGAGGAGATAGGATAGACGATAAGATGGTGATTGAATCATTAGATGTCTATGCTAATGTTGATTGACAGTGTGGAGTTGGACATGAGGCAGATAGCATGTTAGCATGTAAAGGCATAGCTAAAGTATGATGTCATTGCCCCTTGTATTAGGTATGGTAAACACAGTAGTGTCTACAAGTAGAGTAGATTCTGTCTTGTACCCCAGTCTTCAAATTCCATTATCGTGATGATATCCTTTCATAGTGCTTCTTTGTCTTCACTGGCCAACTGGCATCCTCCGAATTGGTGTTGTGATAGTAGACCCGAATTTTAGAGGGTTATTATGTACACATATGCTATTCTGTAATTAGTGGGATTTCTTTCATTTGGAAATTCACTTTATTCCAGGAATATTCAAAGCTGGGGCATAGCTCTATATAGTGATATTATATTATGGATATATTATGCTGCAGAGGAGCATATTAGGATATTATTACATTATTATCATGCATTTGGCATAATAATATGATAATTAACTTTAACTACAGCATAACCAGAGAGGGAGGAGAATAGGCAGGACTTTGATCTCTAGGGTAAACTCTGATATGTGAACTAAACTAAAGACAGCCTGATATACACTACTAACTAGGAGCTAGGAGAAGGAGCAGGAACTAAGGCAATTAGTTCCTAATTCAACAAGTATAAACTCTTTACATATCATATTGGCTGGCACTTCTCTATTGTGGAGTTTTGTTGATACTGATAGCTAAAGATATGTGTGTCTTAGGGCCTAGTGAGAAGTTGGTGAGATTGGGAGGAATCCTTAGTGATTCTGTGAGAGAGGTAGACAGTTGCCCAGATAAACTCACACCTTCACTATTGTGCCAAATTTGAGAGATACTTACCTACGTTTGAACCCATCCGCTATTGTTCATCATACTACATAGCAAACCAATACCAATATGGTATACCAAACCTCTGTCCTGTGCCATAGCCTCAGCAATGCGAACATGTCCACATGCACATACACAGCAGTCTCTGCTGTGTGGCACTGGCAAAACAAATGGCACGAAGCCCAGCCCAATGCCCATCCATGCTTCGAACATGCAGCCTCAGTGTCTGTAGTCATTGACTCATTGTCTTGAGCTTGCATGCAGCGCTAATGAGCACCTGGCTACGGGCTACACTCCAAGTCCCATGCTGATCGCCATAGTATATTCCTCAAGCCCAGATTGGGTAATAAAAAGATGTGCAGAGGGGCAAGGTTCAACATTTTTATTTACCACATCTACAATAGATCATTGACTCTGTTGGCAACTTCCCTGTCAGATACCAAAAACACTGGATAACAGTTGAATTTCAGTGGCCTGGGCCCTGGGCGGGGACTGTGCGGGTGATTCATTACCAAATATCTATACCTTGGAAAGTTGTTAATAATTGAACTGCGAGTCGACACATGCCAGCCAACTGCTGTGCAAAAGCTGCACAGAAAACACCCCTTTGATTGCCTGTCATATGCTAAAAACAAGGTCATCCAAGCCTACAATGCATTATGCATGCTTCGAACATGTGTCCCTTATCATATTGCAAACCAACCAGGACAAGGGGCTATTTGCGGCAGTGGGCTCCACTGTCAGGGGAACCCCCGCTTCGACCTCATTCAGACCATCCAAGTGCATCCGAGGCACATCTTACCAGTGCCCCCTTGGACGCTCCGACCTACCCTGACCCCTGTCCTCAGCCTCCTTCACCCGCACAATCACCTATCCGTCAAGACCCTCCCAATGATCACCTTGGGACAGAGCCTGCAACGCCGCTCAGGCCTTCTGCGCTCTACGTCGGCAGTTACGGACAACCAGTATATAGTTGGTGCCCTACCAGGCGGACCCTTAGAGTTTCTTCTCTTTGAATCCTCCCCTGCTAGGCTTTTGTCGGAGTCTCCAGGGTTGCCTTTATATCCACTTTCATGGCAATATAAGGAGGATATACACCCTGCTATCATCAGGGGTGTGGCAATTCAAAATGTCCAGCCCGGAACCAGGAACTAGAGAAGCAACCCTCCCACTGCATGTCATGTGTCAAAAAGACTCTATTTCCTGACCTGTAAAGCCTCCTGCATGGTTTGAACATGCATCCCTCATAATGAACAATATGCTGGACATTGACTGAAGGGGCCACCTCTAGTGGCCAGCAGGCTCAATTCAGAGGCTAACATGGGACACTAATCACCATAGTATTTCACTTAACTCATACTATTCAACATCCTCAGGGGGGATATATAATATAATTCTTAGGTTAACACCCTGTTATATCCCGTGCATCTTCAGACGCTCCAAGGTTATCCTTGGAGCGCAACAGGGTTTTTACACGATGAAGGTATCTGAGTGTTTCCCTTCAAACAGTTAATCTGCACGCAGACTCCCTTGGACCTGTTCGATATAGTGTTGTGATAGCCACTCGGTTCTGCTTCGGACTTTCCGTTACTTCCTTTCAGTTCTTGCATGGCACTTAACAGTACACCCCCATTTCCAGCTTTGCATCTTGCTCTTATGCACATGTTTGCTGGACCAGATAGTACTTATCATACTTTGAAAATCAACCTGGGGGTGCATTAGCTAGTTTGCGGTGAGCCACCGGGAGCCACCCGGTGGCTAAAAACGTGTGCGATCACCGGTGGCTCCGGTGGCTCCAAGCATGATGTGACAATGACATCACTACTACTTCTCTCCTCTTTCACGCCGCCGACAACGACGCGCAGCTGGGCTACCAAGCCCCCCAACGCCTCATGAGCCCTCTCCCCCGCCCAGAAACCGTCGTCGAGTGAAGGAACCAGCGCCACGTTATAGCCCTGACTGGAACCTCCCAGCTGGCGGCTTGCCCAGCCCTCCTCATGACCCACTTAGTCCAGAGGATGAATGCCAATCTCCTTTTTTCCCATCCGACAACCCGTCCCACTCACCGTCACCTCCATTCGATTTCCATCCGTCGGACGAGGAGAGCTCGAGCAATGACGACAAGGCCGACAACGAGGAACACAGTGAAGAAGATGAGGCCCCACCTGCACCACCTTCCGAGCGAGCAGTCCAGAATGCCCGAGCGCCAAGGTGGCTCGCGTGGCAGGACCGTGTCCTCATCCAGACAGTCGACGCTGTCCGGCCATTCGAGGAGGACCGCGGGGAAGCAACTACGGCTGCCTGGCAGAGAGTTGCTGTGGAGCTTCTCATAGCAACAACGTGGAATGGGACGAAGGTCAATCGGACTGCAGAATCGTGCAGAGCTCGGTTCCGCCTTCTTATCAAGGCCCATAAGGTGTGCTATTAACGCTTTTTACCGTCTTGATTACCCACTCAATGTAGAAAGACGAAACAAGGGCCAAACAGAAGACAGGAACGAATGAAGAGATCGACGAGCATGTCAAGGTATGTAATACTGTCTGGCATGACACGAACTCATAGATAACTAGCTTCTCACTCATATCATGGCGTTGCTCGACGGGCAGGACCGAAGCCAAACAGCATCAAACATCGGCTGCTTCCAAGAAGAAGGATGTCGAAACTCAGGGTGCTTTAGAGCTTCGGGATGCAGCGATGAAGGGACTGGTTGGACAAGAGACACTCACAGATGTCTTGACCCTGGAGGGAGTGAGTCTGCGGGAGAAGCAGGGCCAGAGAAAGTGCGTCATATTTCCGCTTGATTTCACCCTCTGACTTAACTTTTAGACGTCCTCGTGGTGCCTCGTCAGACAAAGAGAACGAGAGTGAAGATGAGGACGGGCCGAAACCCAAAAAGCGAAAGAACAACCTACTGACTGATATTGTCAAGAAGCAAGCAGCCAAGGACTCGAAGCTACTCCAAGATGCAAGGGCCCTTGATGAGCGTCGACATCGCGAACACATTGAATATCAAGAGCAGTCTCTGGCGTTACAGAACAAGATGGCCGATGGATTGACACAGTTAGCACAGGCACAGGCGCAGGTGTTGGTTATGCAGCGAGAGCAGGCGGAGGCGATTTGGCAAAGGGAGCAGGAGCATGCTGAACAAGCTCGTATGGAGACGGAACATCGTTTGGCAGAGAGCGAGCGCTTCAACGTGCTGCTTATGATGCTGGCAAAGAAGGACTAACACGAATACATTTCAAATGCTTCAACGACATTTTACCTACGCTGTATTTTAATCACTTTCATCGTCTTCTGAATTCACTGCTTCGTCTATCATAATCCATGGACTGTCTAAGCACCATGCATCGAGTGCATCGTCCTCGATGGGTCCTCCACAAAAATATTCGGCAAGCGAAGGTGGATAGCAGTGAAAGAATTGAGGGATTTGTGGTTGATGGATGATGGTGTGCGGCGTTTGCGAGAAGTATGGCAACAAGATGGTATAGTCCGCAGGGCAAAAGCAACACCTTCTGGTTGCGGGAAAAGTCCAAAAATGGGAATTACTGGGCAACCTCCTTGAAACTCCATTCGACTGGCTCGCGGCAAGTGCTCATCTTTCGATTGAAGAGCGACTGCCCAGCTAACAGTGCAGCACCTCGGTAGGGAGATAGAATATGGGGCCCAACACTGTATGCAGGATCGCCATAGATGAACAGATTGTCGCCGTTTGGTTTGTAGAAGTGTTTGTGGAGTAGATCGGTGAGTCCACTTTGTTGGAAAACGGTTTCGTTGTGACGCCTACCCTCCACAGGCCCATAGACGTGAATCACAATACCATCTGGAGTAAGAACAGAATGGTATTTGAGGCAATGGAAATGTTTCCACCCGTTGAACACCAGGCCTTGATTGGCAACCGGACGAGCAACTTTTCGTAGTGTCCCATCTATCACAGCCGCAATCGAGTCAAGTGGTGCACCGCGAGCCTCCATAATGGTACCAAAGTAAGCCAATTTCTCACGTGTGAGACAGTGAGGGTCGAATCGGAGAAGATGTTTCCAGCGGTCCCAGAGGAATGAAGCCGTCAGCCGAGTAATCCGTGAGAAGCGGGACCTTTCCTATCTGAATTGCATCTCCACATCCACTAGCCATGAGACGTGAACCAGGCGTGCAAGTAACATGGTAACATGCATAGTGCAGTAATGGAATCTTCGACATTGCCTGAAGTAGGACATCGAATGAAATACGGCAGATCGAGCACAGGCACAAGCTGGTGGACTTCATCCTTTGTAAATCTGGCTTTCAAATGAGGAATGGTGATACTTGAATCTGAAATCATCCGCACCTGAACTGCTCAAGCCAAATTTGATTTCCCCATTCACTGAGATCAACCTTTCCATCAGGTCTCATTCTGCCCTGCCGTTCAATCCACGCTTGGTCTTCTATTTCAAGAAGATTGGCGAGCAGTGAGTGGAAACTGACGGAGGACTCGAGCAGTAGTTGCTCCATGGTGGTAACGGTCAGAATCGATTAATTAACACAGCCACCGGAGCCACCGGCGATCGCACACACTTTTAGCCACTGGGTTGCAAACTGTCTATTGTGGATCAGTTCCGGATCAGGCTATATCCACTGGCATCTCCTGTGCAGTGCAGTTAAGGGGGGGGTTGATTGCCTTGCCCCTAGCATCTACTGGAAAAGATTTCTGGTCCTGCTAAAAGCCTTGTACATACTTTGAACATATATCCCTCACACATGAGCTTCTGTAAGGGCAACCCTGGAGACTCCGACGAAAGCCTAGCAGGGGAGGATCCAAAGCGTGAATAAAAGCTACGGGAAATACACGGAGGGACCGACCTAGCAGGGGAGGATCCAAAGAGAAGAAACTCTAAGGGTCCGCCTGCTAGGGCGCCAACTATATACTGGTCGTCCGTAACTGCCGACGTAGAGCGCAGAAGGCCTGAGCGGCGTCGCAGGCTCTGTCCCAAGGTGATCGTTGGGAGGGTCTTGACGGATCGGTGATTGTGCGGGCGAAGGAGGCCGTGGACGATGGTCGGGGTGGGTCGGAGCGTCCGAGGGGGCGCCGGTCGGATGCGCCTCGGATGCGTTCGGAGGGTCCGAAGGAGGCCGAAGCGGGGGTTCCCCTGACATCACCCCCCCCTTTGAATGCGGCGTCCCGACGCATAATACGGAAGGGCAGCGAGTCGAAGGTTGCTGAGGCGATGTGCCGTGGTTTACCCGGGTATCTCCGATAGAAGTCCGCAATCTTGTCTGGCGCAAAGACACGGTCGAACCGAACCCACGAGTCGTGTGAAGCATCGTAGCCTTTCCACCTGACGAAATAGTTAAGACGCTTATACCTTATCCTGGCATCCAAGATTTCCTCGACTTCCCATTCGGGAACTCCGTCCTCTAGTTCGGGGGGCGGTTCGTCGTAGCCGGGTCGTCCGTCGAAGGGGTCGTCCTGAGCGGGCTCGAGCTTAACAACGGGGAAGACGGGGTGGAGCTTGGAGTAACGCGGGGGGAGGTCTAGCTTGTAGGCACCTTTGCTAACCTCTGCGAGCACCTTGAACGGTCCAAGGCGCTTGTGGGAGAACTTCTCGGAGGGCCGAGTCGTTCTAATGTCAGAGGCGTCCAACCAAACCTTATCACCAACTTGAATCTTCGGAGCGTCCGAACGTTTCCGATCGTAGTACCGTTTATACTCGTCTTTGGCTTTAACGAGTGCGGCCTTTGCCTCGGAGACGCCGTTAGCTATCCGATCGCGAAACTCGTTTACCGACTCCAACTCTGAGCGGGCGCCTGGCTCGAAACCCCATTCGGGAAGCCGGCCAGTGTCCGTCATAAAGGGTACCTGTTGAGTGGAGGAGTGAACGTGGTTGTTATAGGCGAACTCAGCGGCAGGGATAAGCTCGTCCCAGTCGTCTTGTTGGTAGTTGGTGAAGATCCGGATGTACTGCTCGAGCTCTTGGTTAACGCGCTCGGTTTGTCCGTCGGTTTGCGGGTGGTAAGCCGTGGAGGTAGCCGGTTTGACGCCAATTAAGCGCCAGAGTTCGCGCGTGAAGTCAGCGATGAACTGCGAGCCACGGTCCGAAATGTACTTCTCGGGGGTTCCGTGGTGCCTCCAGACGTTCCGATAGTACAAGCGGGCAGCTCCGACCGCGTCTATTGTCGTATGGCACTCAGTGAAGTGGGCGCGCTTTCCGAGGGCGTCGACCACTACCATAACCGCGTCATACCCATGGGCCTCGGGCAGCTCGACAATGAAGTCTACAGTGACAGTGTGCCAACGTTCGGGCGGGACTTCGGTCGGATGGAGCTCTCCATGCGGAAGCCTTCGGAGGGCCTTCGTGCGGCAGCATAAGTCGCAGGTCGCGACGTAGCGTCCGATATGGCGAGACATCTGCGGCCACCAGTAGTTGCGCGAAACCAACTCTAAGGTCTTGAACCGCCCGGCGTGTCCGGCGACTCGCGTATCGTGGCAGAGCTCGATGATGCGCCTCCTTAGGTCCTTGTCTTTAGGGACTACAACCTTGCCGCGGAAGTACAGGAGGTCGCCGGAGACGGCCCACTCGTCCGAACGTGATGAGCGGGGGCCCCGAACTTGACCTCGGACCTTCAAGAGTTGCCGGGCCGCAAGCGCGACGGGCTCCTCTAGGTCAGGCTCACCGGATAGCGCTTCCTTGATGTCGCGGACAAGTTCGGAGCCAGGCCCAGAGACGGTGACGGCCTCAAGCGCGAACGTGGAACAGTTCGGGGCGTAAGAGGGTGACATCCGAGTTGTCGTCGGAGATACCGTGGTCGGGCCGGGCGGGAGAGAGCATCGGGACGGCCCATCTGGCGACCTGGGACGTGGTGCAGCGTAAAGTCAAACCTGGAAAGGTACAACGACCATCGGGCTTGCCGACGGTTAAGGTGCTGTGCCTTTCGGAAATACTCCAAATTCTTATGGTCAGTCCAGATCTCGACCGGATGCGCGGCGCCCTCGAGGAAATGCCGATACTCCTCGAGTGCGCGGATGATCGCGAGCATCTCCTTGTCGTGAATCTCGTAGTTGCGCTGGACATCATTTAAGCTTTTGGAATAGAACGCTACAGGGTGCCACTTCCCGTCCGGGGCGGATTGTTGTGAAAGAACCGCCCCGTCGCATAATCTGAGCTGTCTGCTTCAAGTCGGAAAGGCCGGGAGTCGTCCGGGATCGCTAAGACGGGCTCTGAGACGACCAGCGTCTTTGATAGCTTGAAAGGCGGCGGCTTCGCGTCTCCCCAGGTCCATTTCTGGTCTTTCTTGGTGAGCGCAAGAGGGGTTGCGCTAGGGCCGAGAAATCCCGAAATGAACCTGCGGTAGAAATTAGCAAACCCCAGGAACTGCTGGACGTCCTTCTTGTTCTCGGGCGGAGGCCATGCGGAGACTCCGGCAACCTTAACGGGATCCATTTCGACGTGGTTGTGAGAGATGATAACCCCCAGGTACTCGATTGACGATTTCTCGAAGTCGCACTTCTCCTTGCGAAGGTACAGCTTGTGCATTCGGAGTCGCCGAAGGACTTCGCGGACGATCTCGCGGTGCTTACGGAGGTCCGAATGCGCGATAAGGATATCGTCGAGGTAGATCATGACGTCTCCTGAGAGAATGAGATCCTGGAAAATGTCATTCATCATCGTTTGGAAAGTCGCGGGGAGTTCGTCAGGCCAAAATACATCACCAAAGGTTCGAACAACCCTCGGTTGGTCCGAAAGGCCGCCTTCCACTCGTCTCCTTCTTTAATCCGGACGTTATTAAAGCCCCAGCGAACGTCGAGTTTGGTGAAGTAACGGGCGCCCTTAAGCCTGTTGATAAGGTCATTAATCAACGGGAGGGGGTACCGGTTCTTAATCGTCATTGCGTTGAGGGCGCGGTAGTCCTGGACAAACCGAAGTCCTCCGTCCTTTTTCTTAACGAAGAAGACGGGGAAGCCATCGGAGATTTCGAAGGGCGGATACGGCCTGTGGCAAGTCCCTCCTCGATGAACTCGTCAAGTTCGCCTGTTCAAGGGGGGAGATCGGATACACCTTGCAATTAGCGGGCTTCGCGTCGGGGACGAGTTCGATAGCGTGGTCCCAAGCCCTCCGCTCTGGTAACGTGTCGAAGGACTCCTTGTCAAAGACGTCTTGGAACTCCTTGGCCCAGTCCGGAATCTCCGAAGGCGGGGGGGCCGAGTTACGGGCGAAGGCCTCTGCAAGGCGTTGGGACACGGTGCTCCCAGCGCGAATCTCCTCGATTGGGCGAAAGGAGGTGTAGAAGATGCGGTCGCCGTCTTCAAGATGCTCGTCGTCGTCAAGGTCTGGTGAGCGCTCCGGAGGGTCCGAAGGAGCTCCGAGTTCGTCGTCGGCATCGTCTGGGCCAGCGATATCGATAGCGCAAACGGTGGGGAAGGCGCCCGCAAGTAAGCGATTTAAGGAGTCGGAGGCGGCGAACCTCAGCGCGCTCGGTCCGTTCCTCGTCGCGGCAGGTGGAGCAGCTTCGGGGCAGCGGCTCATTTTCACCTCCTTTGTTTCCCAGTTGATCTCGGGGTTATGCTTTTTGAGCCAGGAGTACCCGAGTATCAAGTCCTGTTTCCCAAGGTGGGTTACAGCCAGCTGAACGCGTTCGGAGTGTCCGTTGTATCGTAGGACCAGGTCCGCGATTTGGCGAATAGACCCAGCATCATTGGGGGTGCCGTCGACATTGTAGACCGGTATGGGTACTGAGAGATTTCGGACTGGCACGTTGTTTCGGTTGACGTATTCTGTGTCGATAAAGTCCGAAGTGGCTCCGCAGTCGACCAGACCCGAGAGGGAGAGCTTGAGCGCGTTCGCAGTGGACTCAAGTTCAAGGGGGAGGTGCAGCGAGTTAACGCCAGGAGCGGCAGAGATGGTATAACTGCCAGGTAGCTTTTTCTCCCAGGCAAGTCGGCGTATCCGAACGGGGGGCTTCGGAGGGGGCAGGGGGTGCGTCTTTCGTTTCAGGCTCG